TTATTTATTTATTCCGTTTGAGACAGGGTCTTATTATGTAGCCCCGGATGGCCTTGAACTTGCAGTGATCCTCTTGCCTGAGCCTCCCAAGTGCTGGCATTACAAGTATGCACCACCATGCCTGGTGAGCAGCATTTTTGAAGTACTTCAGGAAACCACACACACACACACACACACACACACGAACAACAAAACTCAAAACAAATAACTGCCTGCCTAGAATTTTAATTCAACATTCAGAGCCGACTGTATGTCAGTACTTAAAATTCCTCAGTGATTTTTGTTTCATTTTCCACCTAGAGGACGTGGCTGAGACTGGGATGAACTCACTGGATTTACCGGGATGTAGCTGGTGCTGGCTTTCCATGGAGGGGTAAGGCGAGTGGCACCTAGCGGGGGGAGGGTTGACTCTGCTGCCATCTCAGGTGATGCCTCTGCTGAGTCCGTCACAGCTTTGAAATGGGCGTCCCTCAGGGCCACCCTGAGTTGGGGCAAGGAGGCCTGGCACTCACAGCAGGATCACTCTGGCACGCGGCTCCTCTTGCTGTCTCGGTGATGGTGTTGGATCCATCAACTCTGGAACCTGTGTTCGAATCCCACTTGCTGGTTGTGTAATTTAAAGCAAAATACTTAGCTTCTATGTGTCATAGTTTCTGAACCTATAAAATAGGAGTGATACTAAGATTCTTACCTCCTAGGGTAGTTATAGGATTAAATGAGTTAATATGTGCAAATTTAATAAATAGTGCCTGACCGAAGTAAACAGTGCCAGTATTATTACTGCTGATGTTATTATTGAAAATACAGCAGAGTGCATTTGTTGAAGGCATAAATGATGGAAAGAAGGCGGAATTGAGGAATTACTCAATGTTAAGCAATCCCATCTGTCACAAGGGGAGGAATAGCCTCATGGGTATGTGTTGGAGAGTTTTTAATGTCACAGTAAAGAGTGTGCATTATTTGGTAAGCAGCAAGAAACAACAACAGTTTGTCAACAGATGGGAGAAAGGGCCAGGGGAGGCATGGTTAAGCCGAAACAGAAGGCATGGATGCGGCGAAGTGACAAGTACCAAGTACAGGTTGGAGTGTGGGTTCAGGAAAGGTGGGTGGTGGTGGGGTGTGGGAGGACAGGTGCAGGGAAGACTTGAGAGGGAAGGAACACGGACCTCAGGAGGCTGGAGTGAGGACTCAGGTGCGGCTGATGGGGTCAGGAAGGCGTGACAGGGACATCCCGGGAGTGGGACGATGAGGGTTTTGGCGACAGGTGAGGTTGATGGGGACAGGTGAGGGGTGATGCGGCCCTGCTGGGGTCCCGGGTCGGGTGTTAGGCGGAGGCCGGAAAGGAGGCGCGGGGAGCGGGAGGGGCCGCGGGTGCACCGCGCAGGGGCGGCGGGCGTGATGTCAGCGCGGGCGGTGATGTCAGGCCCGGTGCTGATGCTGGCGGCGCGGTGC